CGCCGGCTATCCTTGTATCCTAAACTGTACAATATAGTCGCTAGAGCGCTAATAAATCACGGTGCTGACAGCAAGAGGGTATATCCTTACAGCACCCCCTAAAGCGTGTAATCTTATAGCTCTCGTTCCTATTCCTCCCACTACACTTCAAGTTCCTGATCCGTTCCTTAATCCAACGTTGCTCAAATGCCCCAATTATGGCTTGATCTCGTACATTAAGCAGTTGAAGTATCTAAAGTTCTGAAAAAGAACAAACTTGGAAATGACTGGATTCGAACCAACGACCTTTGAGTCACCACATCAAATTTGAGTCAAGCGCCTTACCTATTCGACCAGCAAGGCACTTAACTGCTTTAACCTCAACCAGCAAGGCACTTAACTGCCACTTCTCAGTTATGGTACCCTCAATCGATTAGGCTTCACTCGAAAAAATCCTGAAAGATTAGAGTTTCTCTAGCAATAAATAAAGCATCAAAAAGATAAGATATGATGTCATTAATTCCATAACAATTTCGATGAAACAACTCAAAAAGGAATTTTAAGCATCAAAAAAGAAATGAATAAAAAAATTCTTACGTTCCCTTTTTTAAAAACCCACTTCAACTTTTGATCCCACCATAAAAATTCCATTTTTTCTTTTAATTCAAGTCGAAAAGAGCAACAGTTCATATTTCTCATCAAAAGATTCTTAAGAAAGAAGGTAGAAAAGCAAGAAATATGAAAAGAAAAAGAAGCAACCCAATTCTTTGATATTAAAAATCTGTTTCAAGCTCTTTTTTTTATTAAATCGTAAATTTCATTCTTTTCTCGGAAGAGCAATATAGAAAATTTTCACCCTGTTCAAGTCCCTCGCACCACTTTTTTTAATTTCCATTTTTTACGTGAATTTAAAGCAATTTTTTTTCTTGTTTCTTCCTTTTAATTATGTGAATGAAAATGAGAACAAGATGAAGGAATGGAAGATCATTAAAATTCCATTAAAAAAAATACAAAGTTTGCAGTAAGGAGGACGCATTTAAGTTATTAAAGAGCTTTTATCTTCGACTAATGAAGCCCAAACTTGAAAATAAACGGGGGCAGTCAAGAACTTTGTGGCATTCCAATTTAATGATTCTTAATCTTTTTCGGTTCGTTGCTCATTATTGGGTCATGTCACACAGTTGAAGAATCTCTGTTCTGGTTGATCTAACTAGATTCTTAGTTTGGTACCTTTCTTACAGGCGAATAGAGCCCTGGCATTACAAAATTTCAAAATCTCATTAAAAAGGAAGCTTTATAGGGACCCTGATCAATCATAGACCATCAGTATAGACATAGCTGTCCAAACCGTAGACTAATCTTTACATCATCTTGACAGAAACCAGCTAAAATCGGATTCTTTACTTTCAATTAAAATTTACTCTGAACGATGTTAATCTTATTGAATTTATGCAAAAATTAAATCCAGCGAAATTGGTTGGATTAATAAGAAGGATATTTACTTGTACTGCAAATGAATGATTCTTCGCGATATTGTCGTAAGTCCATTCGCAACTTTGAAAATCCGTAGTAAATCAATACTGCTTAATAAGTACTATAATATATATATCGTTGGAAAGGTCTTTCAATATACTATTTAACGTCGCCATTTTTGGAATTTTTGAAACGGTTTTATCGGTTCTATATCGGTTCAAAGTCACTCAAAAATGAATGTCTAATAACTTTTGAACGAAATTAGCTTTATTAAAAATTCTTTTTGATTTCAATAGCCTACATAAAAGCTCATAGCTTTTTGATAGTTTCAATTTTTTTCCATGTAGGTTACATCATTTTAAACGCCCCCAAAGTTGAAACTTTAAACAATCATAACTCTTAATCTGTAAGAGATTAAAATATGAAACCTTTACCAAAATATTTCTAATTTTATCTAGACTAATCTGCATAATCAAAAAATGGGGTCCATTTATAAATTACGTCACATTTTCGAAAAAACAAAATTGTTTAAAACTAGTTTATTATTTTTTATGTTAATAAATTCAAAATCAATAAAAATTATTTGAATATTTAAAATCTACGTGAAAATACCTTTAAAATGATGTATAACATGAGTGGGGTTTGTTCATAAATAAGGTCACTTTTTTTTTTTTAAATTTTTCATACTTTTTCAACAGATTTTATTTTAAAAAGCTTCCTCACTGCACTTTTTGACTTGTTATTCACTTTGTTTCTTTGTTTGCCAGACATTTTTTATAAATTTATTGAAAAAAAAATTCTTATTTTCTCACCTTTTCTCAAAAACTTGCTTCTCATTTTTTTTAAAAAAATAAAGTTCGTTAAAATTTAAAAAAAACGTTATGAAAAAACCACAAAATATACTGTTTCTGTTTAAAAAGAACATTTTTAAAATAAAATCTGTTGAAAAAGTATGAAAAATTTAAAAAAAAAAAGTGACCTTATTTATGAACAAACCCCACTCATGTTATACATCATTTTAAAGGTATTTTCACGTAGATTTTAAATATTCAAATAATTTTTATTGATTTTGAATTTATTAACATAAAAAATAATAAACTAGTTTTAAAGAATTATGTTTTTTCGAAAATGTGACGTAATTTATAAATGGACCCCATTTTTTGATTATGCAGATTAGTCTAGATAAAATTAGAAATATTTTGGTAAAGGTTTCATATTTTAATCTCTTACAGATTAAGAGTTATGATTGTTTAAAGTTTCAACTTTGGGGGCGTTTAAAATGATGTAACCTACATGGAAAAAAATTGAAACTATCAAAAAGCTATGAGCTTTTATGTAGGCTATTGAAATCAAAAAGAATTTTTAATAAAGCTAATTTCGTTCAAAAGTTATTAGACATTCATTTTTGAGTGACTTTGAACCGATATAGAACCGATAAAACCGTTTCAAAAATTCCAAAAATGGCGACGTTAAATAGTATATTGAAAGACCTTTCCAACGATATATATATTATAGTACTTATTAAGCAGTATTGATTTACTACGGATTTTCAAAGTTGCGAATGGACTTACGACAATATCGCGAAGAATCATTCAAATGAGCAATTAAGATATTTACTCCGAAAAAGGCTGCAAAAATTCTTGCTTTAGCCATTGAAAATTTTATTTCTTTTTCATGCTATTTTATAGCTCATCTTTTTTCCTAGATTTATGGTTCCAATTTTTTTATGGAATGAAATCCCAAGAATTGCTTTAATATTTATGAGAATAAAGTCATAAAACTCCGGTAATATAGCTCCATTTTTGGGGGTTGAGTAGCACTAAGGAGTTCTTTTCTGTTTGGTGATTTATGAAGATGTAAAACCTTAAAAATAAAGTGATGATAAAGATTTATTTAGGTTTGTTGGAAATGCATCTTTACTCTGAAAGTTTCTGTCCAGAACATATTTAATCTATTTTTTTTAAGTAGTTTAAATTCAGCTGCAATCTAGCTTCAATCTAGCTTTCCCGATCGGCACATATTGAAATGTTTAATGCTGGGTTGATAGTATAAATAGAACCAAGCTGCAGCCACTTAGAAGCAACTTCAACTGGATGTCAAGTGGTCGCCACGTAACTGCCAATGCCAATTCGTTTTTATTCTAGCTTCACTGTAGCTTTATTGATTCAATGTAGCAACAATGGACGAAGCTAGTTGGGTCCAAGTGGATTGACATGCCTCCGGAGGTTAAATCTGAACCTGACACTTTTATGGAACTCTTCTAAAACATGAAAATGTTTTTTTAAAAAACCAGATCCCTTAAGATCTTGAACAACTTCTAAAACATGTTCGATTGCGCCTTAACAAGTTCAAAAATGGCTCATTAGCATTGATGTTAATTCCTTTAATGTGATCATGAAATCTAGAGTTGGTATTGAATCTTAAAATGGAATTGGCATACTCAGTTTTATATACTGGAGACCGTGATGTTGCTTATAAAAAATTATTTGAATCCCACTTTGGATCACATCGTTAAAAGTCTAGTTATGCATGCAACTCCCATTAGTTGGGGTTTTTCTAGCTTCTAAAAACTTAAAGACTAAATATTAAGTAGATTTGATGCAGTTCAATATGAAAAATCTCTCAAAACCTTACATCACTTAAGAATAGCCCCCCAATATCCTCAAATCATTCATTCATGATTTAAAAAAAAATAAATTGACAAAACTTCGTTTATTAGCTTCATTTAAAAGAAATTGTCGACAAGCTTAAGCATTAGCAATATCTCAATCTGTATAACAATGAGTCAACACATTTCCGTTCGTATCAATTCAATAAGAATCATTGATTGTTGATTAATTTGTCGAAGGATGACTTTCATGTCTTTCAAGATTGTGTTATGTGTGTATATAAAATTGAAAGAGTAAATAAGACCTTGTCAATTCTCAAGAAACAGAAAGCTACAAGATGATATTGTCATAGTCATTTGAGCATTAACAATATCATCTTCATAGTCACATGAAACACCAATTAGTCTACATTTGATTAAGCAATAACAAACGAAATGAGAGACATCGCATGAACAAAAGAGGGGAGCGTGAAAAATGTTGTAGGAAGGAACAGAACATACATCTGAAGCTTAAATGTTAATGCCTCTATTGACAGACAGTCTCTGACTTAATATATGACTTGTGATATTGTGGAAATCGATGAGAGAGCTTGCTACAATTTAATCAGTAATCTAGGTTGATATGAGCGAACTTTATTGAGTCTTCAGCTTAGGGGTTGTTCATAAATGATGTTTAATTTTCAGGAAGCAAGCAAACTCATGTAAAATATAAAAATTTGTGACAGATGACAGATTTTTGATTGACATCATTTATAACCGACCCCTATTGTGGCATGGACTTGACCTCGTCTGTTCACAATTCATTTCTATTTCGTCGCAGTTATTTTCGATTACTTTGTTATAGAAACCATGGGAAAAAAAACGTGTAGGTGTCATTTGGAACAAAAATAACCTCAAAATCCTTAGTGAAAAAAAAATAAATAAATAGAACAGAACAGTAATGTCAGCATCGTTGTCAATATCGTCGATTTCATCGAAAAATGACAATTCATTTTGTCGGATTTGTTACTCATTCTCATCATACGATCTGATACGAGTGCCATGCAACTGCAAAAATTCAATTGGATATGTGCACAGGAATTGTTTGAGACGATGGATTCGAGCTATAAACAATAGCTTTTGTGAGATATGTCAGACGGAATATACAAGAAATATTGTTTTTCCACAACGTCGGTAATAATTGGAATTTTTCTTCAAGCTTTTTGCCATTTAATGAGTATTTTCTTCTTGAAACAGTTCATTACAGGACATGCTTCTTACATTCATCGATGAACCACTCACGGCCATTTTAAGATTTGCAACAAATTTATTGTGTGTAACTGGAATCGGATATTTCATTGTCCGGAAGGTGAGCTTCTTATTGTTCTTATTAGACATTATTGAAAAAATTCTCAATTGGATTATAAGATTAAATTTATTGCTTTAGCGGAAGCAAAAGTTTGTTATGCAAATTGAAAAGATATATCCACTTGGAGATTATTTTGAAGATTAAAGAAGATAAAAAGTTTCTATTACAGTTATTGATGCAATTGAGAGATTCTTTAAGCTATTTTTATCAATTTTCATACTGTTGAGTGTTGCTGTGTCTCAGGGGCGTAGCCAGGAATTTAAAGATGGGGGGGGGGGGGGAGCAAAAAAAAATTTTTGCATGGAAAAATTTAAGGGGGGGGGGGGGGTTTGTGATTTTTTCATAAAAACCCTAGAAAAATAAAAAAATTTCTGTTTGCGTTAGGGGATTTGTCCCCAAAATCAACCCCCCCCCCCCCCCCCTCCCCTACGGGGCTTCACGCCTGCTGTGACTCTGTTGTTTGTGTAAAGTCAAGATATCTTGAAAATTAGTATCATTGGATGTTTTGATGCTTAAAATGAAGCACAGTCATCTTGTAATGTGTCATGCAGTTCTTCGATTCAAATTAAAAATAACTGACAAATTAAATTTAATATTAATTACGTGATTCTTAGCCAAATCAATTCTATTTAGTTTCAAAATACCTTAAAAACAATAAAACTTCATAGATTTTTCTCTGGGGTCGTTCATATATGACGTCCAAATTTAACGGTTATTTTTTGAAAAAAATCTATGAATTTCCAGAAATTTCTATGGTTTTTTTTCTTGCGAATCTTGGACGTCATAAGTGAATGGCCCCTTTTCAAAATCCATAAAAATACTTTCTTGTTCTCCCTAAATTGAAAAAATATGCAGAATCACCGTTTAATGGACAGAGGAAGAAAAATTGGAATTCTCTCCATTCATTGCATCCCTTAGTTATGTTTATTTTTATCTTATTCATTCTTTTCTTTTCCTTTTCGTTTTCATTTTCATCATTTTACTTATCCCATTTTGCCCTCAAAGCTGTTCATCATTTACGAGCCATTTGAGAATGAAATGGTCGATGCAGGCGACATTACAATAAACAGCTTTCAAAGAGAATACCAATTTTTGAGCATAGCTGTCCTTATAACAGGATTTCTATCCTACATTCATTTGGCAAAATTAACAGTGGTGAGCTTCCGGGAGCTTTTATCAACTTTACATAATTGGTGGGATCGAGGTCGATTCACATTTTCGCTATCAAATGCGTACGTTGACGACAATAATAATAATGATGATGATGTCGATTAATCTTGGTTGGATATCAAGCAACACAAACTCACAATCACGATAATGTTCAATTTTCTTTTAGTCACAATAATAAATTGACGATGAGGAAAGCTTAAATGTTATGGAACTTCTTCTTAATTTCTTGGACGACAGCTCATTTTGTGGAATCTAAGAAATTACACCCATGAGATTTTTATGTCATTTTAATGTCGAATCTTCACACAAGAAAACTGTTCTGAATCTCTGACCTAATAAATTTGACTTTTCTAATGTTCTCCAGTGGTATGATGTTATCACCAGGCGAAGGATTGGTTTCGGTTGGTTTGGAATGATCCCTAACAGACAAAGAGCATGCTCTTGTTCAAGAGTACGGTTGAGAAGACGCTTTTTTAACATCCTCTCAAGATTCCAGTAAAGAGCATGTTGAATAGCGAACTCAATCGTACTCTAATTATAAATAACTTGCATGCAAGTTTTTATTTCATAATCTTTTACGTACTGCTATACTTGCTATATACTTCACAAGCGCTAGCAGAAATCACTAGTATAGGTCCTATATACTTCACAAAAGAAAGCAGAAATCACTTTTATAAGTAATTATTTTGGACTTTCTATAGTTTAAATGTCTTTTCGCCATTTGAAAGTTATTTAATTTCTGAAGGCATTAGACAAGATGAACAGTTATCAGGACAAACTACAACATAGCGTACTCGGGATCGAATCACGGTAATAACCAAAAAAGAAGAAAAATATAAATTTCTCAAAAACATGATCAAGAGCATAATCACAAGCTCATAAATTTTTTAATTATTAAAATTAAAGCATGATCAGCAGAAAATGTTCTTGATCATGATCTCGAGTTTAACTTGCATTTGAAATTTGCAAGTAAAAAAGCGTACTCTTGAGAGCGTGATTTCTGTGGTACCCTGCTGCGATCTCCATTTGTATAGGAGAGTACGCTAATTTAGCGTCATCAAATCAAAAAATTAATTTTTAAAAATCATGCTCAGATCGTGCTCTTTGTCTGTTAGGGGATTTGTGAATTTGTAGCTAGGAACAGGGTTGCGATACAGCCACTTATGCACAGGAGCGAACCGTACAATTTCTCGATCATTTATAAGGTTTTTCTAACAAAACCATACAAATTCTAATAAAACCTTCCAAATTATCGAGAAATTGTATGGTTCTCAACTGTGCACAGGTGCCTGTATCGCAACCCTGGCTAGGGAGAAACTTGAAAACTCCAGAAACCCTAGAATTGAACAAGAACATTTTGGTATAAACACACCATGTTATAAGTCAATGATTCAACGTCCACGATTAAATCCCAAACCAAAATCTCACAATTAAAAATCACCCAACATTAGGGGTTTCAATCTCGGGATTGAAATTCCCCAACTACTGCAAACAAAGAAAAGTTCAGTTAGATTCGAAAAATTCAAACTGAAATTCGAAAAATTTCGATGAATTTCTGGTTAAAGGAAGGATCAGAACATAAGGTAAAACAATTAAGCTGTCTATAAATAAATTCAAGAATACACAAGAAATATTTTTTTTTCACAGCATTATTCAATATTATGCAATTTAAGAAATTCAATCCACTTATCTTTATGCACAGAGCTTTTTGGAAGTTCAAACAAAGGTATTTAATTGGTTTTCTTTCCTTTACAATCAGTAATTACACAATTTCTGACCATTTAAAAAAAATGAAATTTTATAAATTCAATAAAGACTAAGAAATGTAAACAATTATTTTCAACGGAAATTTTAAATTCAAATTAAGTTCGAAAATGAAGTACCTATTTCCGAAAATGAGTTCTTGTTTGCAGTCGTTGGGAAAACCCTACCCAATATCCTTCACCCAAATGATTGCCAAAAGTAGCAAGTAGCTTTAAGAAACCACAATTTCCTTCTTCCACAGACTAATAACAGCTATAAGAAGATTAAGCTTTCAATTTCATTCCTCATCTCTTCAATTTTTCTTTCCTTTTTTCGACTCACAAGATTATGAATGTCTTCAGAAATCATTAAGAGAATTGGGAATTTGGTTTTTTTTTTTATTTTAATTACCACGATTACTTATTGAGATGATGGAATCTCTTGAGAATTTCTTCGAAGAGCAATTCAGCACAAAAAAAATAATAATAATCTATTTGAGATGAGAAAAAAGAAAGGAACTGAAAATTATTTGAATTAACTCTGTACGTACAAATTATTTTATCTTCTCTTTTTTTTTGATGAGTCATTTTAAGGATGAGGAGTGAGGAATGAAAGGAAGGAAGGAAAAGGCTTGAAGATGCTCAAGTTTCAATTTAATGAGATTTATTATGCATATTTATATAGATGAGAATTTTCAGTCTTTCCGCGAAGTAAATTGTGTAATAAAAGTAAGGAACAAACCCGAGTGATATATTCTGACGTAATTTTTGTCATTTTATGCTATCTGGGATGCTTTTGAGGATTATTAAGTATTATTGCTAAGGTTTCTGTGGCTGCGATGAATCTTACAGCTTTAATGTACGCAGCTCGACTTTATGTTCTTTAATAAGTTGTGTCAAAGTTCAGGAATATCTAGCTTTAATCCAATTTTTTAAGATTCTAGTTAAAATTCAGATTAGAGATCAAACCCGGGATTCAGTACATTTTAATCCCGTGTTTGAAAACCTTAATTCCAGTAATAACTCACAACATCTCAATGCTCGGGATATTTTCAAACCTTAAGACAGTTAACGATATTGTTGTACAGGAACAAATAATTCAAAGAATGAAGTTTATTACTATCTGGAATTTACTTGCATTCATAAATTTTCTTTCAAGCTTAAAATAATAATTAAGAACATCATAGCTTTATAAACTCTAATCCATGAAAATAAAGATTGAGGATGATTATTCATCATAAAGATTAATTAAACAGGAGTTATTAAAATTTACCAGAATTCTGATATCGTTACGGTTCTTCAAGCAAATCGCTTGAGATGGGCTGGACATGTGTTCAGAAGCTCAAAAGAAGCTCGAGTATCAGACTTTGCGGATAATTACTTACTACTTACTTCCTTGGCTGGGTGGCACGTGGGCCCATTGCTCGATTAAAGATTGTCTGAAGACAGCTCTATCCTTAGAAACCTTCTGTCAATTCGGGATATTAAGGACTCAAGCGTCCTTTTCAACACATCCAATCCACGAGATCTTCGGTCTTCCTCGTGATTTCTTGCCTTCCATAAATTCTGCTACTGTCACTTTTAGTACTGGTGCATCTTGTGAGCATCTGAACACATGTCCAGCCCATCTCAAGCGATTTACACAGACTTTGTTGATGGCAAGCGATTTACAAATGAAGACCAAAGAACACTTGAATTGAATGAGTTGATTAAAACGCTAGAGTCCCTAATATCTCAAATTGGCAGAAGGTTCTGAGGGATAGAGCCGTCTTTAGACGAACTCTGAACGCAGTCATGGGCCCACATTCGGCCCGACCAAGGTAGTAAGTAAGTCAGTATTAGAATTCAATTAAAATGTTAAATCAGAAAAATTGTGACTTAAGCTGCCATCGGAGCTGTTTTAAGAATTTTTAACGATTTAATTCAGTTCAATTTTAAACATCTTTATGAAATTAAGTTTGAACTGCCTTTGAATCAATCACAATACCAATTTCAATTCCAGAAAAATAAAATAATATTTCTTCACAAAAATTAATACTTTTTTTGTGTTGATTATTCAAGTTCATTTGCGATGCTGCACAAGAATAATTTTACTTTTTTTTCTATACTTCCTTCTCATCATCTTGCCTTTCCTTTCGAGTCATAATCATATTTATTTTCATTTGTGCTATGTTTCACTCGTTGATTTGAAATAATGAAGCTTCGCTTTCTTACTTAATAATGACAAATGCTTGAAAGCTCTTTATTGAGACATAAAAAATCATCTTCTCAGTTATTTTTTTCTTACAAACAGCTATGAAGTGATCGAGTTGAAAACAGCATAAAAATACAAAGTTTCGAGATGCGAATGGAAAGCGAGAAAAATGTTTGCAATTTTAATGCTTTAATGAGATTTTTTTTTCGTCATCAAGTTTGTTCTATAGAAGATTATGACTTAAAAGTGCTCTTTTTAATGAAAACTTTTTATAGTTCTTTCGTTGAACTTAAATGAATAAATAAAATATGAATATTAAGAACAATATTTAAGTTTTTATTTGTGCTATTTAAACTTTGAATTATAAAGTTGTCTTTTGGATGTTTTTTGGGATGAACTAACCCAGATAGCACAAGTCGGTTATTCGAATAGAAATCCGACACCAAGCCAGCATGACTCTAGCATGGTGCTGGATTTAAATCAAAGCTCCATGCGAGATTCACACCGGCTTAGTGCCAGAGGGGGGGCATATTATTTTGGACAATAATTTTCTGGAATGGAATTTTTTGGAAAGAATTGTATGGAATAGAATTTCGTAGAAAACACCTCATTGCCGGAATTATGATCGATTAACCGACTTGTGCCACTCGGGTAATATCAAGGAGGTGTGGATTTAATTAAACGAGAAATTATTAAAACAATTTAAAGTTTAGATCTTCATCCGAATAGCACAAGTCGGTTAATCAAACAGAAATCTGGCACCAATGTTTCCATTTAAATCCAGCACCATGCAAGAGTCAAGTCAGCTTGATGCAAGATATCTAATCGTTTAACCGACTTGCGCTTTTCAAGTTTGTTTGTTGTTTGGTAAAACTGATATCAAGAAGGTGAGCATTCACTTACCTCCTTACCTCTAGTAAATAGGAACGTTCCTAAAAAATTGGTCACTACGTCTTGTACTTTACTAGACATCATGTCAAATGTTCCACCCGGGTCCTAAATCTAAAAAGTTATTAAAAACAATTTTACATCTAGATCTTCACTTAATAACTGAAGTTTCCTCAAAAATACACTCAAAAAGATTTTAAAGCCTTAAATACATCACACAGCTTTCGTTGGAATCGCTTTTATTCTGTAACAAAAATAAACATCAGAATTACCGATTCAAT